TGTATAAATCGATAAATAGCGTTGGGCTAAGCGTCGTAGATGTAGATTCGTAAAGAATGTAGTGAGTTCCCTAGAGACAGAGTAACTCGATTGGTTAAGTGGTGCTTGCTCACGTAGACTGGTTTGTCCAAGTGGGAAGAGAGCCAGCTCCCAGTGTTATAGACCAGAGTGGCAATAATAGAGTATCTTATGAGTTGGAAAAAAAGGAGCGACTAATAGTGGAATACCTTGGTTAACCGTGTGTGTAAGGAAGAGAGCGGCGAGGCGAGAAGAGGAGTAAAAAGGCAGGTTAATGGAGGGGCGGTGCAGAACACAGAGAGATATAAGGATGCCCTCGGACGCAACAGGGCCTACATAGTATGTATACTGACAGTTCAATTATAATTCAACACGGCCAGTCGGAACATCGGTAGGAGCTAAGCCGGGTCTTCTTGATACATGGAAACCTGGCCACGTCTGTGAACTCGACAACAGGAGAGACTGGCGTGCTAAGTCCCGCTTGGCTTTCTTGAAAGAGACAGGCAAGACAAGGGCAGGCAAGGACCACCGGGCGGGCTCTGCAAGGATTTACAGCACAAGGGTTCGGTGGGTTACATCTGTTCGTCGATGATGTGTTGCGAGGAATAGGTATGTAGTCGAGTCTTTGAAGCAGGGTACGGATTAGAGTGGTGAGCGTATGGGGGAGCAACGGAGAGTTGGATGGGTCTCGGGTACCTAGCATGTAAGAAGTAGCCAGAAACCGATTAGACTAGGGACCAGGGCTGCACCCCGGTCATAAATATCATAAATATCCATGGTAAGTCCCAACTCTTTTGGGATAGCTAGGCAGGGGTTATGATATAACAGGACGGACGTAATTTTGATATTGAGTAGAAAATGGGAAATCTCATCAGACTAAGAGAAAAAAAAAGTCTGTTTGGCCAGAGGGGAAAAAAAGAAAATTAGAATCTAGATACTACTCACTATTTTTAGCCTGTTCCTACCGTTGACCGTTGAGCCTCATAGTAGAGACTGGTCTCATGTTATGTCCGGCCATGTGGCAAGGAGCGAAATATACACCAGGCTCAGACAGCTAGTGTGAGATGAAAAAGAAAAAGGCTGAGCTGATGAGACGACTCGTAAACTACGAGAGCCGCGAAAGCTAGCCTTGGAGGATCGTATACCATCTATGTTGTACGTATACAGGCTCAGAAGGAGTAGGTAGGCAAGATTCTAGTGCCGTATGTATGTAGGTAGAGTCGTATGACACAACCATGACACCTTCGTCGGCCGGATATGTCGATCTGGAGAAGCTAGGTTCCTGAAAATTACAATACGTACCTTATTACTGTAGGGTCTGGAAATACACTACCTTCTGGGGTCTTTGTGGAGCAACAAGGACTCGTCGTGCTATCACGCGAATAGGGCTTGCTGCTAAACATACCCTATGCATGCCCTACGCATGCGGTAATCGCAAGTAGCTTAGTTGACAAGGCAATCTCTATGAACACGGTATGCTGTGTGGCTATTCGGGTTAATCTGTTCGTAGCGCTTAGAGATATCTAACCTAGGGATCTAGGGATCTAGGGATCTAGGGATCTCGAATGAGGTTTCGAGACGACCCACGAAGGACGGTCTCGTTGGATAATACGCGCAAAATAGACAAACTCATTAACAGAATTCGGAATGTGCGAGATTGACCAAAGCGCCAGGAGGCGCGCATGTGTGCAATCAAAGCCCAAGACCCGCCGATTCCTCAAGTTATAGATAGTGGGATCTCGTCAGATTAACCGATTTTTGGGTGCGTTGCTCTGGTCATCAGATGCTGAAGCAGCAGAAATGTTGGTTCGATAGATACGCACAGGCGAGCTCATCTGAAGACGGGATAGCCAAGCACTGCAGGGGAGACATAGACCGACGAAGCCACGATTTGGTTGATTCGGGAATAGTGATAACAGCCAATGGCGACAGAGAGGGCGGATGAATGGATGGGGAGGCGGAGCTCCCGTGATGGAGGGGAGACGACGTGTGGTGGGCTTGCGCGACACCACATAGCATGAGCTCTGACCTCTCTGACCTTCTGGTATGGCGTGTATGGTATGTATAGTATGTATGACATCGCGGAATGGTGTGGCCGGGGGGCATCCAGATAAAACTCTGGCGCGATCGAAGAGGGAAGAGGGAAGAGGGAAGAGAGCATGTTCGAGCGAAGTAGTACAGTCGAAAGCGGGATGCGCAACCTCTAGTTTGCTCGAACACGCGCAGAAACGTCTTGCAGACTGCAAGGCGTGCGTGTTGGACGATTGTGTTGGCTTGGAGACTGGAAGGGCTAGGGACAACCGGAGGCTCTAGACTCAGACGATGCCGACCAAGATTAGGAGTGTGTCGTCTCCGTTCGTCAGCGGAGCGCGTTTGATGTTGAATTTTAGTTGCGTTGGGCAGTTTTGTGATTGGTCAAGCGGAAAATAATATACAGGAAGGAGGTGCATGGTACAGGGGTTATCATCCCTGACGCGTCTCAGAATCTGTAACAGAACGGCTGACCCTGGATTACCCCTGGCCCGCCCCCACTTGCCTCTCAGTCCCGAATGTCAAAAAGGTAAAAGATCCAGACTCCACCTCTGGACCTTAGCTGCTGCAACCTGCGCCTACGCCCGCATGCTGCATTCGGTCTGCCATAACATCGACATCTTGTTACAAATTGGCGCAGAAAATAGTTAGGAACGTGATCCGTAGATGGAAGCACAACGTGGATGGTAGGAAGATACGATGGCTTACAAAGGTGCGCCACTTGCAGAATACCCGTGCCGTCTCGAGGGAACTCTGCGCTCCATGATAAGAAGCGGCTGATAGGGAACTGGTACTACGTACCTACATAGTATGTACGTTGGTTATCGAGTCTCCATTGCAATTCATTTTTAGAAACACTTTACCGGGGCGTCCGGGGTATGCTCAGTGTTATGTAACGGCGTATCTTATATTACCTAAGGTAGTACAACCTTTTCTTTCAGGTTAGTTTATGTACCTTTTTACATAAGTTCCAAGGACCTCGACTGGTAGAATCTCGCTGGACTCTCTCTTAGCCCCCCGTCTCTCTAATCTCTCTTTGATCCTTCGACGTTGCTTTCGGCCCCTCCTTGTTTCGACAGAGCTTCCAGAAGCAAGGTCTTACCGATGCACCGTTATGTGCGAACTATGTTGGTACAGTACATCTCTTCGAGACCCTTCATCTCGTAATGATTGTTTTGTTTCCTTTAAAAACCGGGGAACTATAAATCACGGGGCTTGACCGGGCTTGATAACCCCGCAATTCCAAGTTTTAAAGTTCGATAGAACATCTGATCATTCTGATGTCGATTTGTTTACTCGGATCTTTTCAATGTTGCTTTGATCTTCAATTAGATATGTAGTATGTAGTTCCATTGTTGGTATGTACCTTGATAAGCCTTACCGTTAGTAAACGTCAGACATGGAAAATCTACGTCCACGCTAAAGAAAGCAGGGCCTGTATTCCGTCAGGGTTGATTTCATTGTTAAGCCGATGATGGAGTATCTGCTATAACGTTAAACTACAGTAAGTAATGCTCCCGTAAGGGTACACATTCACGGAATAAGTCATACTCGGAGTTGCGGTCCTTTAGTGCCATCCAAGCAGGTTTTACTCTTTACGACGTACCAACCATAAGGCTGTCTTGGAATAGTTCCGGTCTCCAACGGGCAGTTATAACAAACGTCGTTATCATATTACTGATATTACTGCGCGGGACGATCTTCGGGTCCTTAGATCGGATACCAAACCGGGCTTTCGAAGATTCTTATTGGTATACCAATAATCTGATATACCAAGTAATAATGGCAACAATATTCTTATCAACCCGCGTAAGCATTCCATGTATTCCATGTGCTTACGCCTGTACATGTGCGAGGGCGCCCCGAATATAAACGCCATCCTCTTGCATCTACTAGGTAGTCACCCGCGTCTTACATAGTACAGGCTTGTAGGCTTGTAGGCTTGTAGGCTTGTAGGCTTGTAGGCTTGCAGGCTTGCCGACGTTATCTCGGTTGCGGCCGGGATTTCGGCGTAAGACGAAAACACTCACGGGATAGCCCCAAGATGCGAAATGTACCTGCATCGCATATACCTTGTTATATGCCTAGGTAGGTACGCTATTGTGTGTGGTCCCGTTGTCGTAAGCGAGCTAGTCCTTCGGGCGAAGGCGAGATGAGATTAGGCACATGTATAGGTATATATTGGGTATAAGATGTACATGTATAGAATACCTAATACATGTATAGATTAGAGCTGCATCGATTTAAGTGTTTGCCTTATCTAAACACGTACCTGCCCGTCGGCTGGGGCGGCTGGGTCGGCTGATAGAACGTGGCTTATATGTACGGTACGGCAGGACCTGCTTTCTTTTTCTACCTCGGGCTACTGCGTTAGGTATCGCGAATACCTTATGTACCTAGGTATATATGTACTACCTCTTTGCATTTACACTTACATGTAGTTGCGGACATGTAGTTACGGGCATATGCGCAGAAAACATGTTTTAACTTCTCATTCTTCTCATCGACCATGCAACGTAAATATCTCCCATCCTTTTCTCCCGGGGGAGTTCATCCAGTGAGTTCATCGTATGTACGTATCATTCGATGTGTTTAACATAGGAATTTCACCGAGAGTCTGACCTCGGCCGCCGCATCTGGTGAGCGTTATTTTAATTAGCTCCTGCCAGATCGTGTCGTGTAAAGTGGACAAGGGGTGAACTCTTGGTCTTTCCATATGTTCTACGAATCGTTCTATGGGGCCGCTTGATACCCCACTCCGGGGCTAGCTTACCGGGATAGGCCCGGTCCTGTCTCATCGCATAACATTGTTGACTCCTTTGGGAAATTATTCAATGCTCGCTTTTACCCGCAAACCCCATTGCCCTTAAATTTAGTAACTACTATCGCCTTTTCATCATGAAGATCGCGGGCTGACGATGACGATGACGATGACGAGACCACTTCCCCAGATACCTAGCGTATACCTAGCGTATACCTAGCGTATACCCATTGGAAAATCATATCATGCGTTGAACCTAACAATAGAAACAGACATTGGAAGCGAGAGGTCTAACAGAATGCAGGTTACAATTTACGTAGTAGGCTACGTGCCCCGAGCACAGCCTAGTTGGCATTAACTATACCTCGTAATGTCTATACAGGCCGAAGAACTGTTCGTTTTGATAACCCTACTTGAACTAACTACCTAACCTAGTTAGTTACTGTTTAATCGTATCAAGTCTCTCAACGACAACCCCCTATGACATATGTCATCTACGTAATAGTATATCCCATCTTTGACAATTTCTTTGATATCAATGATGAATTCTGGTGACAGAACCTGATTTATAGCGAACCGACCCTACCTGGTGAATGTTAATCTTCGTGGCAACATCAACTATTCCTTGTTGATCTTCTTCCAAACTTCTGTTTCTGCTGCTGCGATCTTCTCTCCTGTCTGATGAGCCCATTTCTTCGCAGCTTCCCAAACTCCACTTTCTGTTCCTGTCTGATCTTCTACCTCACTCCGCTGAATAGCCGATCTCTGATAATTGCCGAGCTCAGAAGCGTTAGAATTCTGATGGTATCCCGGAGGGTGCTCCAAGCTATGAACTGGTGGGCCACTTAAAGGCGTGGAACCCTGGTTGCTATATTCTGAAATAGGCATCGGGACTGTAGATGTACCCCGCTGCTGAGTCTGATATGGTGCAGTAGGTGGCAGGATTGCCATCTGCTGAGGATACGGTATGTTCACAAGCTTCTCGCCTACTTTAGGCGGTGGTGGTATATTCGTTTTAGTGATACCGGTTGGGACAGGGACGGCCCCAGGTTGCGGTGCCGGGGGCCCGTCATGATTAGCCGTTTGAATTGGCTGATATGAGACACGTGCTTGAGAGGCGTCTGCCGTCGTGGTTGGAAGTAAAGGCACGGCACCAGGTTGCGCGGACGGATAGGCCTGGCTGGACGAAGTAGGCAAAGAGCTAGTTGGGGTTGGGGTTGGGGTTGGCTTTGAAGTGGACGATGGTGGAGCAGTCTGTGGCGTCACTCCCGAAGCCTTCGCGGCAACAATAGGGCTATCCGTATAGACTGGGATGGGGGCCATGGTGAACACGTAATACAAAGTGACCAGACGGGACCTATGTAAGAGGAGAGGAGAGGAGAGGATAAATTATAATGTGTAGTGGTTGAAAGGGGTTGATGAGAGAAGCTACAAAGTACAATTCGTATACCTATTGTATTGTCAAAGATATTTATGTACGTTATGTAAGTCAGACGAAACGAACGGAAGAGGTGGTAGGGAAGACAGCAATATGAGTTAAAAAGCGACGTCATAGGTGTCGGGTTGTCAGGTGACTCAGCTTCGACTTTAGCCTCTTCGTACCGAAAGAAAGGTAAAATAGTTCGATTAAAAAAAGTTGTTTATTTATTATAGGCTTTGCTTGAAATTAGTGAAATAAAACAATGCTCGTCGGTTTGTTTTCGAGTATCTTTGTTTGCTTGTAAGAGAGAGAAGCTATATACTGACTGGCCGGTGTTCTGTTCTGTGGGCAAGTCATAGGTAGCATTCTCTTTTCTTATCAGAGAACTAGAAATTAGAATACTAAAGAGTATAGTAATAGATAAATAGCTTGCAAAACTGCTAGAAATCACGGATAAAGAAGACTACCTAGGTAAGGCATACTAAACATCTTAATTACCTAATATTGGACATGCTGGTTTGAAGATTATTGGAATTCTAGTTGGATTTGACCGATTTGACCGATTTTGACTGATTTGACTGATTTGACTGCAATGGCTTATTCAAATCTTATCTGGACACGATAGGATAATCCAGCTACCGAGTTCCGCTACTAAGCACGGGTACTAAGCTCAAATAAGGCTTAGTGCCCCCCCAGTTCCAGAACAAATACCAGGTAACCTTAGCTCGCTGAGTACCAACTGGTGCAGCCGCGACTGATTGATTTGATAATGGATAATGGCCCAAGCCGCAGGGACAAGAGGGCAAGCTCGAAGACAAATTCACTGTAAACGCAAAATAAAATTCCACCGCGCCCAAATACTTGAACAATTTTTCATAACGTATCTGTAATCCTCCCCTTTCTCGCTTTCTCCCTTTCTCCCTTTCTCCCACCACAAATGCTAGAACAACAAATACATATCCACGTAGATGCAGCCATCATCACCACATCCGCCATTCATCTAATCTGTAATCATGGTCGGTAAAGTCAGTGAGAAGGTCCTCCTTCGGGAAGGTTAGTAATTGCTGATCCATTGACTCTGCGCGCATGTATGAAGCTGACATGATGGTATCAAAGGACTTGAACGAACCGACAATGGCATGAAGCAGACGAGCTGGCCTGATGTTACGCCAATCAACCAAAAGAACTATTACACGTACGCGACGTCCTTGATGCATTTATATAATACACACAGCGAATTCCCAGAGCTAATTAATATATCCTACTTCGTAGTGACTACATGAAACGCGATGACCAAGTATTAGCACTTCGACTGCAGGCCGAAGCGAATAGAGATAGACTCGTTCAGAGTGCCAAGGATCGCGATCGTGCTCTTGCGCGCAACGGACACGCTGAAGTACCGTTACCAGTTCCAGATATCCAAACCGAGGATGCTGCTCCAGCAGTCAGCGAGGGCTTGGACCCTTCCAAGGTTATTGTCATACATCCGGGGAGCCAGAATCTCAGAATAGGTTTTGCTAGCGACGCCTTGCCCAAGACTATACCCATGGCAATTGCGACCAAGTTCCCCCAAACCGAATCCGAAATGCATGAGGCTCTTCCTCGCCGACAGTTTGAAGCCGCGACTACAGACCAACAATATGGAGAGGAATGGTCTAAGAAGTATCAGAAGATGTCTAATGATCTCAAGGTGGATATGCGATCTAGGAAGCTTAGAGTGCTGCCAAATTCAAAAGAGTTGGTTGTGAACCATAATAGACGAACTGAATCGAAAGAGATCTCACTACATAATGACCCTCTCCAGATCGAATGGACCGACGTTAAGACTCTTGAAGATCCCAACTCGCTCGCCTCATGCTTCATAGGTCAGGCGGCCCAGCGTATCCCCGACGACTCTAACCCCAAATTCAAGCTATGGTGGCCGATGCAACACGGCTGGCTAAACGAGGACGATTATACGACTGCAGAGCATTTATATGACGACTTCGAAACCCTTCTAGACAAGGCTATTAGGCATGAGCTTGGACTGACTAGGAATAGTACATGGAAGAACTATAGCTGCGTCTTCGTGATTCCTGATTTGTACGACAAGAAATACGTGGAACAGATTCTCAAGTCGGGCATGACTTGGTTCGAATTTAGTCGGATATGTTTTATTCAGGAGAGCATGGCTGCGACATTCGGTGCTGGGTACACGCAAGCGTGCGTGGTCGATGTCGGGGCCCAAAAGACCTCGATCGCGTGTGTTGAAGACGGGCTCTGCGTCGAGGACTCCCGCGTCAACCTCAAGTACGGCGGCTATGATGTGACGGAGACATTTATGAAGATGATGCTTTACGACCACTTTCCTTACCAGGATATTAATCTTAGGAGACGGTATGACTTTCTCCTAGCTGAGGAATTAAAGATCAAATATTGCACGATGACCCAGACCGATATTTCAGTACAACTCTATACTTTCCACCTCCGCGCTCCAAACCAACCGACGCGCGAGTACAGCTTTAAGACATACGATGAAGTCATCCTCGCCCCGATGGGCTTTTACGAGCCGGCTATATTTGATAATTCGGCCAAGATACGTAGTCGGCGCAAACTAATTGACCGCTCTTACAATGCGTACGACGTCGGCGTACCCGACGACCCAGTTTCTGCGGCGCAGACTGCTATTCTCGCTCTCATCAAGCCTTCCGTAGTATCCAATGCCAACGGTTTCCCGTCATCATCTCTCGACCCTAACGTTGCTACGCCCATGAAGGAGAAATCTCAGCCCTTTAATTTTCTTAGGGGCGACCTCAACAACGGGACGCCAGGTGGCTCGGCCGCAGCCTCGCCGGCCCCCGAAGGAGCAGCTACTCCCGTCCCACCGACTTTCCACTTTGGCGCCAACGGTACGGTAACAGGGACCGGTAGCCCAGCACCGAACGGGACATCAACCGCGCGCAACGGGGCGTCCCCAGCTCCACCAGCAGGCATGTTTGTAGACTCGGCAGCGCGCACGGCCAAGGCGCTGGCCGCGGAGCGGGATGCTGTGCTGCCCGTGGTACCGCTCGACATCGCGATCCTGACGAGCATCCAGAACGCAGCCAAAGGCGACGACAAGAAGCTGCGCGATTACATCGGCAGCATCATGGTCGTGGGCGGGGGCTCCAAGACCCCCGCCTTCACGCAGATGCTCCACGAGAAGCTCAAGGCTCGCCGTCCCGAACTCGCCGACCGCGTGCTTATCACGCACTCGGCCCGCGATATGGACGAGCAGGTCGTCGTCTGGAAGGGCGCTAGCGTCTTCGCCAAGCTCCCGGCCAATGACTCCTGGATCACGCCCTTCGAATTCGAGAGGTTGGGTGCCAGGGTCCTGCACCATAAGGTTCTTTGGGCTTGGTAGGTGGTTGGTTGGTCAGTTGGGTTTAATCGCCCCTTAATTAGTGAGCAGAGAATAAGCGGGAAAAGAGGATAAAAGTAACCTAGTAAGGAGTAAGGAGATAAGCATAAATATCTGGGGCGCGAAGATGACTCTAGCTCTTCTGTAATTGCTCACGTATCACGCATGTCTTGACGTCGAGGCGATGTTTTTTCACAGGGAGGTATTATTATTACTTATTTGATCGTACTCTTTAAGGTTGGTAGTATTTGTATGGCGTTGGTTGGTGGTGGTCTTCTGGCGCCCCCCCCCGGGGGGGGGGGGGGGGGGGGGGGGGGGGGGGGGGGGGGGGGGGTGGGGGGGGTGGGGGGGGGGGGGGGGGGGGGGGGGGGGGGGGGGGGGGGGGGGGGGGGGGGTGGGGGGGGGTGGGGTGGGTGGGGGGGGGGGGGGGGGT